CAGGTTGTGAAACGAATCAGTAATTGTAAAACACTTTTAATACTGAAGATACCTATTGTTTGTTAGTCAAAAAATAATATATTGGTCGAAACCAACGCTCAACTCAAGCTTGTTACTTTAAATAATTTAATTTCACATTATTAAACAAATAAAAATGACAATTTCAATACGTCACTAACAAACAAGGAACAGGATGTTTCCCGTTGGACCATGGAATCCAAACAGTCAACCGACCCAATGGTAAAAATCCCAAAGGGCCGTTTGATCGGTAGGTCTATAGGTTCAACGGGAAACACATATCGAAATCGTTTACTTCTGTGTGTAAAAATAAATAGCGTATTCAGAAATAAAAATTAATTATAATATATTTCTAAGGTTGCCAGTCTTCCTGTAGTCCTGCAGTAGTCTCATGTTGTCGGGCGCCAACTTATTTATAATCCCTTTGAGCCGCCGCTCCTTTGCCATCGCTTTCAATAACCGTTTACTTAATCTTTCAAACTTTCTGACGTAAATAATTCACCCGCACAGGCGGTACATCCTTCTGCCCTTTGAACAGCTTAACCCCATTCTTTTTTCATAAACAAAGATGTAACTGTTCGCTTTTAAGTTGTTACTTTTTCATTGAAATTTTATACAATTTTTGTACCACTTGACATGGATGTCGCCAACAGATGATTAAGAGGGCTAGTTGTAATTTTTTTTTAAATTCCAAAGAGAATGCTTACCAACATGTGAGTTATGTATTGTTAGGAAGAAAATCCGAAAATGTGGCAGTGTATTGACTCAACACTAGCCTTACTAAAATGTCGACGTTTGTGTCTCCTCACGATTAATTCTGACACTGGACTTTGTAACGAAAGCACGTCATTCGCGCCAAAGGATTCTAATTAATAATGTCTAAAAGTATGTTTATAGGAACTACAGGCACATTAGTATTTCGAAGTAGTTTATGTATCGATTTTATATTTTTCGATTTTCTAAGTACAGGGGCGTAACGTTTAACTTTGATTTTGTCTTTATTAAATAGCATAGCATTGCACTGCATAACATAAGGGCATAGATAATTATGCTATATACTATGTGTATATTAAAATACTGTAATATACTTACATGGAGCCCAAGTCCAACAAAACTTGGAGATGACCCTGATACTATATAATAGGTAGGATTATGATAACTACAATTTTTTTTTAATTCTCACTAAATTTAACAAGGAAGTAAAGTACGGAGCCACGATATCTATTCCACGTCGAAGTGACACGATAAAGTGTAAGAAAACAAACTGGCCAGGCTCTCGCACTTGACGAGTAGATATTTTTTTTCTTCTTTCGGACTCAGCTGTTCATACAAATTGTGTTTACGCTATGGGAACTCTGTGACCTTTAGCGATAAACAAAGAGACGGTTGATTTCAACTGTATTATTATAAATATTTAAGTATTTTGTTGCGAGATATAGTTTTGTGTTTGCTGCATGAATATTAATAGATTAGATTAGAGCACCGTCTAACTTCTTTACCTAGAATATCTTTTTTGTGGTTGGATCCATTAATGATAACCATAGATAATAAAAAAGTCTTACGTGATATGAAGGGTTGTAAACTAATGTAACTGTTTCAACGTCCAATAAATTAACTCATCTAACTGTTTATAAAGGTCTTGTGTCTCGATATAGATTAATAATAAATAGTACGGCAACCCTGAGCGACTTTAAAATTAGCAACGCGCCGTGGAATTGATAGGCGCGTAGCGGCGCGGGCGGAAGTCTCCTCTAAAATAACAATCTGCCCACTTGCAGAGCTAACCGGCCACTTCCAGCGCGACTCGCGACCCGCGACTCGGCACTGCCATTACCATTGGCCACTGCTAATAAAAAAAATATGAGAAATAAAAAAAATAACGTTCTGTTTTCAATAATGCAATAACGTCCGGATATTCAAAACAGTCATTTGAAAAGCAAGGTTAATTTAGAAGAGCTAAGAAAACATCTCTTTAATATCAAATGAAAAATATCTACAAAGAAAATTGAGGATTTTATGGTTCTTATATCTAAGACATATTTCTTACTTGTTACCTCGTAGCTCTAAGACGAATGTTATACTCGTATTATTGATAATTAAATCTGATTGTGGGTTGAGCATTCAGCCGTTATTTTCGTAAGGCAAAAATAGTGTACATTTTATTATTCGTACAGATTATAAAATATATAGAGGTATATGTGTTTGTCTGTGGTTTAATATTCTCGATGGTCCGGGTGGGCGTAGAGAATGTGGATATTTCTGGCTATTATCGCTCGCCCACGGCCCACGGGCCCGCTATCGGCAGAAAAATGTTACAAAAATACAACGTCGCAATTCTGTGCTGGTCTTCATCGGGGTTACCTGCTCCACTGACATTGCTTACTATTCCTCCATCGAACTCCCAATTCTTACTACGATTAATCAAACTTTCTCAAACAGTTGAATCTCTATTGTAAGAATATTTGAGGAATTTATTACAGATATTTAGAGCAAGGGTAGTGATAAATGGATTAAAAAACGAGATAAAATAAGCCATAACTGTACTGTAAAATATGTGTCCTAAACCAAAAAAAACTACATATCTACCTATTTACACTGTTCACTGGCTGGTAAATTCATTTATTATTTATGGATTTATTTTGAAATATTTTTTGCGTAAATTGATTAAAGGCATATGCTTAACAACAACTTTAATAAGTCTGCGTCTACCTTATAAAGATAAATTATTTAGATACTTTTTTATTTCCATTTATTACCATATAAAGCAATGATTTCAAAGTAAAAAACACAATTTTATTTCTTTTATTGTACACGTTATCTCCATTACTAATGAATGTTCCTGAGACATAGACTTAATTGAATATATGTGTTCCGAAGAGGTGCATTCTCCACCATTTCCGGTGGTTGTTTACAAAAATATATATATATATATATATACAGAAATATATAGGTATACAATTCGAAGTTGGCGTCCAAACCGGCCACGGCCGGCCGAGATAGTTGGCGCGATTAAAAATCGTTACAACTTCCGTTCGGCTCCGAGACTCGGAGCGAGCCACAGATAAAAAAAGATAAATAAGAAAAATAACATAAAGATCGATACGGCAGAAAGGCGCTACTTGTTTTTTCACTGCAGCTTGAGGCTTGAGGCCATCGGGCGTTTGTGTTGTGCTGGTGTATAATACTCGTTTATAATGCCTGTACACACTGGTTTACAGCTGACCATGATCACAAACTATTATCGTCTTTAACGTAACGACTTACGTATTATTTTACAATGAAAGTCGTTTTACAGTAACATCACAAAATCAAAAGGCAATTACGCCAACATAATTATTTGAGCTTGGTAATAAGTAATTATTCCTATTTAAATGTAGGTTTGGAAGTCGTTTTAATATTAACCACAAAGTAATACGACACAAACTTCATCGGATTTCTATGCTATTGTCAATGTTTTCGTGGGCATTGGAGTAAATCTCCATTGCAAACAGGAAATTAACCTTGGTGTGTCTCCAACATCTTCGGAGATATGCAATTATCATTTATCACGTTTTATATCTTATCGGTAGTCTTTTTGTAAATAAGTTTAATTTGACCGTTTATAAAATTGCATTTCCAGAGAATTTTATTTCTTTGTTGGCACGCATTAATTCAAGATACAAATGAAAAATCGAATTAATAAAACTATAAAGATCCCCTTATTTACATTTTAAAACATTCAATCCTAACGAAACGGTCGGCGTAATGACCACTAATTCCCAATTCCCAAAAACGATAATGTCGGCCGCCGCGGAGCGAATTAACATCACATGATGTCACATATCCGCCTGCATCGACTATAAATCGAATCGGGTTAGGTGTTTTAGTTGGATGCGAGCGCCGATAGAAGATATCGGATTAATAAAAGATGTCGTCGACGAGAGCGGTTGGAACGAGCGGCAATTTCACGAGTGCGCCGTGATAATTAGACGGCGGGCGTGCGTGTGTGCGGGCAGCGGTCGGAGGCGCGGGGCGCGGCGGGCGGGGCGCGGGCGCGGCAGGCCGCTGGTAACTATGCGGCGTAACTCCGGTAGCGGCGCAACAGGTCCGCGGGGCGGCGGGCGGCGGCGGAGGGCCGAGGTGTGGCGGGGGCAGGGGCGTGCGGTAGGAAGCGGCGTGGCGACGCGGCGCACACAGCTACGCCGCGGCAGTGTGCGCCATCCGGTCCGGTGCGCGCGCGCAGCCGCTCCGCCGCGCGCGTGTAGTGGTGCCCGCACCCGCCGTCCGCCGACCGCCGAGCCGATCGATCAATGAGCTCGACATTGGCCGGGCCGCCGCCTGCCGCCTGCATGCAACTCATTGATTAACGCTATGAACGTGGAATTGTTTATTCATTCATGATGAATATTTTTATTTCAAATGAATGTTATTTTATGTTGCATGTATATATTATATCCTATGAGTCGACCTTCTTAAAGCAGACGTATGACGTTATGTCGAACGAAGGTGAGCATAATCGAAAAAATCGACATAACCTAAGGAAAGCAAAGTATTTTAAATGTCATTCTTTATACTGCAAGTATAATATATATATATCATTTGTGTATAGAGCATTTTAATTTTTGGATGAGCTGTGCTATTTATTGATTGACGAAAACGAGTCCTAACCGACCGCGTTGGCCAGTGCGTTCAGCAGATATCAAAACATTAGTCATAAGATAAATATACCTACTTCCGCACTTACGATGCAGATGCTGCCTGAAGATGTGTTACGTAATGCCATCCGCTCTACTGTACCTACTGCACACCTTTATAGACCATAACACGTGTAACAAAATTATTAAAATTAGTATTCAGATACTTATAAATTGAAAAATAGTCCTTGATGCCTTGATATATAATACTTTATTTAACTTTGTTTCAATTACAACGAAAAGGTAACAAGATTTAGTCATCAGTGATTTTCGTATGTTGATTTCTTTTAAATATTGTTTTGTTTTCAGGTACGGTTGCAAGGAAACGACACACAATGTAGGTAAGTAATGTGAAACTTAAACGGAAATTATACTAAATATTACTATGTACAACTCTTGTAGCGATAACAAGGAAAGTCCAATTACAAGAAGCACGTCTGTAAACAAGATTTTGTTTTGGCGGTTGGGAATTCGTGTGACGTCACATCAGTGGAATACAGATTATGGAAACGCTTGCTAATATTTTGGCAGGAAATTCTTACATGATAAAACTTATGTCATTTATTTGACGTCAATTAAACTAATATGACGTCACAAAACTCTAGAGTTTGTAACGTTGAATTCTTCCTAGTAAAGAGCACCTCCTTTAAAAATTACTATAAGCTGGTGAAAATAATATATATGGTTGGTTCTTTATTTTAATTTTAAAGTTGGAATTCGTGTTTATCAAATTTCTTATAGCAGCACTTTATTTTTTCCTCGGTGGTCGGAAAGTCAAAACCTTTGACATGAAAGTTTTTGTCGCATCCCGCATTGTGGCGGGTCGGTCGTGTGTCGAACATTCCGGAGCGGTTGACACAGAAGTGATTAGAAAATTCCTAACGTCTGACGTGTCCAGGACGCTGCGACAATGTTCACTCAAAAAAGCAAAAGTAGCAGTGACAGAGAGTGGAACACCGCTTGCTGCCGTAGGCCAATGACATCACTTTCCACCATCAACACAATACAATACATTCACCCAATATTCTGCTTTACAGCGATGACATAAGACACATTTTAGAGTACACGAAAACCTCTACATGTACGTGCGTTCTTCGCACCTGTAATCCCTCATGTGGGATCGAAGTCATCAGTTGCTGTTAAATTATATACTATGCAAACGAATTTATTTATGACTAGCTGTCGCACGCGACTCCTTCCCCACAGAATTAAAAAAAAACTTAATTAGCAGCCTATACCTATGGCAAATTTCATCGAGATCCGTTTAGCCGTTCTGGTGATACCTTCGAGCAAACATCCATATATAACATTTGCATTTATAATAGTAAGATTTATTTATATGACTTATTAGTGGGATAATGCGGTTGAAAACAAAATGATGGATCTTCAAGTTTGGATATAAAGAAACCGAGAATTTGAATGTAGAAATTTTATTTTATTAAAGTGAATTTGATGTATAATTGCTAACGTTTAAATTAATATTGGAACCGGTTGTTATCTATAATTATATAGGTAATTCTGGTATCCCGAGATCATTTTTAATGCGGCTTCCGATCGATTCTGCGAGAGAACAATCTTCGGATCAGTTCCCACAGTCGAGTTTCTAACGGATTCCGAGAAACGGTGGCGATTTGTACTGAACTATCTTATTAGCTTCAATATAGTGAAATGTTGCCTCTTGAACAGGTTAATTTGATATCTTTCACGGGAAATTAGATGAAATCTCCACTCATATTGATATAACTATCGCTTAAGTTAAATATTTTCAAAATGAATCCGATTGAATGTTACAAAGGAGTCAGGTTTCTTTTTATTTTACTTTAATACTTACGTTCATTTTGTATAGTATACCATACATACAACTTTGTAAAAATATACGATCACTATAAAATAATTTTTAACTTGGTTTTAATAAATACATGACATTACTATACGTTTCTTTTGCTTTTCTTCAAAAAAGAAATCTTGCCACAATAAGAGTTAATCGATTTCATTTTTATTATTTTCCTTTATTAAATCATGAGATAATATTAACACAGCTTTTATTGTGCAAATGGGTTTGTGAAAATAACCATAAACTCTAACAGGGAAGACAATCAAAAATCACAATACAAGTTGAAGTCTATTGAACGGTTCTTAACATATTGATAAGAGATGCTGATATGTGTATTGTTTTTTTTTTTTATTTTTACTAAATGTGTATTAATATACTTAATTGTAAACTGAAGCTCTTCGACAGTCAGATTTTCCTGGCAACAACTGGCAATCAGTTACCGCTGCGGTGACAAAGGGTGTGGTAATTTACGGGCTAGGTGCGCCGCCGTGGGCGAGCGTCGCCCACGCGCCCACGCCACGACCACGCGTAACCACGCAAACTAAACAGTACAATCATGGACAGATGTCAACCATATATGCGCATTACAAGGCCGATTTTTTTATACACTACAACATATAGCGTACATATGATGTTTTCGACCAGTACTTTGTCATATAAAGGGGGATAAAAAATATTTAATAACAAATGATATTAAAAAACAAATGGCAAGAATATCAAAAGCACTTTCTTCTTATCTTAATCAAATTATTTTGAAAATATAAATAGTTTTTGGTTTTTAATAATTTGTCGAAGTGGTCAGTGTCGACGACTGTACATCATCCCACACTCTAGTACGTAATGACGAGTGTATGAATAGCATAGATACGCAGCGACTTCTGATGAACTACACATAGTTAGGACTTGTTATAATCAAATAGTTATTGTGTACCCGCTTCCTGTCAACACAGATTATCTACACGTAAATAAATGTTTACTACAAACTTTGTAGGTTATGTTCACGAATTTTATAAGTATTCTTCGTAAGAACTTTTATCTTAGGTGTACTGTTCTATGTTCAAATAGTAGTAAGCTGAATTCCCGTGCTTGTAATGGATGGTTAGATTTGAATTGGTTTTTTTTAACTGCACTTTGCTAAAGGTTGACTTGGCTCCGATTACATTTAGGAAGTTAGTAAGAACCGATTGCTTTGGAAAACACAGCAAACATATCAAACGATCATCATTTTCAATTTTATTATTAATACATGAGTTCTTAACTTTAAATATATCTAATCGAATATATATTAACGGTTTACATTAAGTAGTAGTATATCTCGATTACGAGGATTGAAAATCAGTGAACCGTAACGTAGCTCGCTCTGGCATTGCCGCTCCACTCTATGTAGTACGCGTGTCATTGCCACGCGAATTTGATCTCTCTGTCTTGTTCTAAAAGCTTAAAATACAGATCACCTTCTTTGGTATTATTGTAATTTCTAGTTTTCACCTAATAGATCAGACTGTCCGATGCAGTTCCTTTTCGAATTAGTAAGGTTAGTTTAGTAACAATAGAACATGATATGTTTATAATTCTATGATTCCTAATATATTGGACTTTTTGTAATTTTTTTCATTTTATTTTTTTTACTGTCATTAACCTAACTCTTTTATCTGTATTGTGGATGAATGCATAGAATCTTTGCCTTTTTAATGTGTTGCAGTATAAAAAAGCTTGTGCATGTGATATACTGTGGCGTCACTAGCTGGCCGCGAGCGTCGCATGTCGAGCTGTAATAAGTCTCGCTGGCTGCGTCGCGTCGCCGAGAGTCGCGCGGGCGCGGACGGCCTCACGGAAGGTCGACCGCCTCGCCGCCTCCGCGCCCTGCCGCCCCCCTTCCACCTCCCCGCACCCCACGCCCTCCGCACGCTACGTGGAATTCATGTAATTGCCTTCAATTAAAATAAGAAGAATTCATACATCGCATGTTCCATCTTCGGCCACACATGACACGTTGCACATGTTGTCACTTTACAGTTTGTCATAAGCCCGTCAATTTGATGACACGCGGCTGGCGCATATGTCAAATTTATTACACCGATAATATCATTGCCAACATCGATTTTTTTAATTACGGTTCATAAAATTATAATATGTATTAACACATTAAAGTATGAAAATAATTAAAAAATATTAAAAGTGTTGGTAGAACAATGTGTTTAATTGCGACCGTTTACGTTAGTTTGTTTATCTGTGGCCGCGGTCTGTCGTCGCACATCGCTGTTGCGAACATCCGCGCCGCGCGTTCGCCGCCCGCCGCCCGGCCTAAGGTCAGCCGCGCCATGAATGGATCGAGCTCCAACGCTCGTCCATTCAACAACATCCTTCATTCTAGCTTTTGTTCTTACGTAACGGTCTCTCATACATATGGCAGATAATACGCACTTTAGATTATGTCTAATTGTTTCATTTGCAACGCGAATGGGCAAATTGGCCATGTAGATTTATATCTAACCACCAAGTCCTGACATTTTGTTTCAATTTATTAATCCAACTTTATAGAGTAACAATTCTAATGATTTGTTAGTGTAAAAGCAACAGTACAACAATGGTCATGAGTTATAAAAATTTCCACTTATTTTGTACAGCGTATGTGTATGTAATATCAGATGAGCTATTGCTCGTTTACGTCTACGATAAAAAATAAGCGGTTTCGAGCTAAGAATATTCGCCTCAACAACGTGTTTTGATTATTTCTCAGAAATTATTTTACTCAGAATAGATAATGTATTGCGGTTTTAAATTCTTAGTATATCAATTAACTTGATACGTTAATTTTCGACGGTTTTCTTATAAATATAGGGGAAAAAGTATATGAATATTACGAACATACATTTAAGCTTATCATTTTAAAATAACCAAGGAATAAGTATAAAATACAAAAAAGAGAATGTCAGCAGATATAAAACTTTATTTTTTAATTATAGTACTTCAACGAACGGAAGAAACATAGCAACAGTAAGCCATTACACGTCGTAACTCTGTGTCGCGTTTCCTTTATCTATGACTGACATCCGGTTTCGTTTTCTAACGGAGACATCGTTAGCTATATTTAATCTGTCTTATGATTTCGAGTAAACAATTTAAACAAATGTTTTATCTAAACAGAATTGCTTATCTTGCTTGTGATTTAGAAACATTCGAAAACAAACGGTTAAAGACAATTTTTATTTTATCAATTTGTTTAATATTATTACAACGGTAGAGCGCGGGCACGTTGTTAGATTTCGCGCCAAATTTTATGTCAGTCGAAAGAGGTTTATTATCGCAAATTACTTTTTATGGCATTCGACGCACTGGCCATGAACATTCGCAACGTTGCATTAGTTGTACCTAGATCTAACATTCTTACTTTTAGGAAACTTCACCTTATCTTATATTTTTTTTTATAAATTTATATAAAACTCACGTGTCACAATTTTCGTTCCCATACTCCTCCGAAACGGCTTGACTGATTCTCATGAAATT